ACCATTATATTTTTCTTGAATTTTGACATCTCCCAACAAGCGTCATTTCTACGGGATCTTCATGAACGCATTTGCAAGTCAAAATCTAGTCTCCCAAAGAAATATCACTTTTCCACAGCCCTTGGCAGCAATAATTTCTGCGTCGTGGACATCCAAGCATCCCGTACTTCTAAAGATGCCCATCTTGAAGAGCTTTCTTGATCATCCTTCTGAAGTACGGCATGTCTTTCTGTTTAGTTGGGATAAAAAGTTGGTAATATTTTTCATTTTGTACATCCTTTAAAATAGGATCTTWAAGATGTTTTTGGTACATACTTGGTCGAAGTCGATCTTTCTTTCCAGTGCAATGTATTCGGCATACTATAAGAATATTGAATTGCAAGAATTACGGTAAWAACACTATATTATTCCTATCAGTTAATCGAGTATTGCTAAGGTCATTTACGGTGTTGCTTTTAATGAAAAGGAATTCACACAGCAGACTGATGCGTTAATGCGTACGTGTACTTAAACCGTGCGTCAGACATTTTCAGTTATTACTATTGATAGAGTATTTCAATGTACTCCTTAATTGAGGTACAAACCTTGCAAAGAAACACTCCACAGTCGTCGCAATTCCTCTGTAAAGGTATGATCTAAAAATGATGCAAAACAGTTTTTTATTATTAGTAATTCGTAATATAATCTCCATTTCCGTTATCACCATTACCAGTTAATTGTCAACGGGTTGATCAAAAGTAAACATTGTGCGAGCTTTTGGACCTACTTACTTCGTTTGGATTTAGAGCAAACCACTCACTAATGTTCAGAGGAGCGTTGTAAGTAGCAACATGAACGTAGCATAAAAGCTCCCTAAAAAGTATTTGTTATTAGATTCCAATAGAAGACTCAATAAGACTGATAATCAACAGATGAAAGAAGAGATGATTGATTGATTGATTGATGGGATTAATTCATAAAAAATTACTAAAGTATAAAAACAACAACAATGGGATTTTGCAGGGGCCGAAAAGGGTGGCTCTTCTTCACTGAAGCCATTTACAATTAAATGAAGAGAAAAATCCCAAAACACGGAGGATAATATACTTCGTTCGTGACGTAATTGAGAGTAGATGATTAGTCAGGCTGTTGTGGGAAAACGCGCTATACTCACATTATTGAGGAAACAAGTGATCTCTTTGGTTGCCCTGTGAGTGAATCCAAGTGAATAACCTTTCTTTCCTTAATTAGAACGACCTGTTGGTTATCAAKATAGTTTGTTATCACCGGCTATACCATGATTTCCAATTTTAATCGATAATGAGTGGTGACACTATTTCCTGTTTTGTTTCTTCTTATCGTGGCTTCACATCCGCAGTACTTACCATGAGTGTCCAATGATTTGTCTCATTCACGGGAAACAACACAATATCTTCATCGAACAACAAAAATCTATAGGAAAACAATTCGGTGTTTATGCCAATGTTACACATAACTTGAGAAGTTACATTTCCATTTTTACCGTTTGTGCTGTCTTGTCCAGATTTCTGCAATCACTGCATTTCTATTGCTG